AAAAAAAAAAGAAGGCAAAGTTATAGGTATTTTAGTGATTCCCCCTTATAGTCTATGGCTGAATCTCTGAATCCGAATAGGGACAATGATTTGAAGCACTGAATTGAATCTGACAATTCGTTGAGGAACGGGATGTACTGTACTAGTGTTTTTCCTAGTTAAAAAGATAGGTGTTATCAGATAGTGCCCAATTTTTAAGGGACTGACCATGTATTTCTCAGAACCTTCTTTTAATTGAATACCTCCTTTGGACTAATTTTTGCCTCCAGCTATATGTTGCTTTGGGTACTGATCAATTTTCAGTGAGATAAGGCATTTTTTCCCCCATGTTAAGATGTTATCTTGGATTTAAGTATTGGTCTGGGGCTTGGCTCTGGCTTTGGCCCCAGGCTTGGTGGTGTAGGGGGCACATGGCTGGGAGGACTATGGGAGAGACCTCGGGATGTGCATGGGAGAAACTGCAGCCTGCCTTCTACCCCTTGCCTTCCTCCCCCACTCTTGCTTCTCCCTGCAGTTTTCCCCTTCCATTCATCTGCCCCATGCCACCCTTACCTTCTGATCCAGCATGGCCAGGAGCTGCTGTCACTTCTCCCTGTCTGGGTTGGGCTGAGGCTAGGCCAGGGCTGCTGTGCTGCTGTTGAGTGCCCAGGAGTCAGTGTAGGGCTGCCACAGCTGGTAAGGGGCTGGGTGAGTGCAGAGGGGCATGTGGCAGGGGTGTGTATGGTGGTGGTTGGGGGTGGGGAGACAGGCAATTGGTAGAAGACAGGCATGGGGAGGGGGGGCAAGGTACAGGGGAGGAAGGGGTGGGTGTTCCCTGCCTCTGCTTTTCCCACCACAGCAGTTGGGGGATGAATTCCAGACAACCTTCCACTAATTAGATTCCACTAATTAGATTGTGTACATGGAACATTTATAAATTTGTTATAATTTTCCATGTATAGAATTTAATTATTGGAGGATCATCTTAAATTTGAAGTAGTCTTGGAGTCAGATAAGTATGGTAGCATTAAACATTAAAATAATAACAAAAAGTCTCGCATTTGAGTATTTGTAAGCAAAAGAAATCTGCAGTAGTTGGTTCGAAAATACTTGTTTAAATACCACCACCAACAATTTTCTCTTTTTGAATAAACACCTACCACATGTTGAAATAAGGTTTTTTTTTTTCACTAAAAAACTTGTTCTGAACATTAGATTTGTGTGTGTGTTGCTTTTGGCAGCTCTGTAGAACAATTTCTAAAATGTTTTATATTTGATACTTTTCTGTTTTGTTTTATAATGCACTCTATGCTGCATTTTCCTCTTAAAAATAAATGCAATATGGCATTGGCAAAGGATAAATTTTATTTCCCCAAATGCAGCATACTATAATACATATTGTAATATAATGTCCTATGCTGTTATATATTTTGAAATAAAATTACCTAGGTTAGACGAAATATAAGTTTTATCCACAGGTATACCCTTTGCTACCCTTCTAGGGCTAAACAGCATCTGAACATTTACTATAATATAATCTTCCTTTCAGTTTGTGACTCATAGTATGTTTTCTCAGTTGGAGTAAAGCAGCAAAATCTATCTTTATTATTTGAGCAAATGTAACATTTTTAATGTTCCTTTGTTATCTAAGTTTTGCCTCAAGCTGCTGTTAAGCATAAAAATTGACATAGTGTGTTTTGTCAAAATGAGGAATCCAGACTCAGACCTCCTTTATTCCTAAATCCAATTGATTTTACTATGTGTGTCTAACAGATTATAAAATTGCAATTGTTTTAACACAGGTCCTGATTGCTCTTTGAATGTCCCTTCCACGGAGTCTTACTGGATTTTACCCAATGTGAAGCCATTCAGTCCTTCTGTAGGTCGGGCTTCCCATAAGGCAGTTTTACATGGAAAATTTATGTGGGTGATTGGTGGATATACCTTCAACTACAGCTCATTCCAAATGGTGTTAAAGTAAGTGATTTCCCTTTTGTTAGTCTGTTCTGTTATTCTTTATAGGTGATACTGATCTTTGCTAGGTAAACAGTGTTTAATCCCATTGTTATCCTACCTTTGCATGGAAATGTTATTATTTAGTTGAGCCCTGCCACTTTCTCAGGACCCAGCCTACCTCCCCTGGCTCCTGACCACCTGTAGCTGCCTGGTCCTGAGAGCCTGCTGCCCTTCCCTTCCATAGCTCCCGCTGGACTGGCTGAGCCACAAGCAGCTAATGCCGTGTAGTGCCAGCTGCAGGAGCTGTGGGCCTGATCCTGATAGCTAGTTGGCCCAGCTGATAAAATCTCTTTGCGGGCTGGATTTGTCCTGCAGGCCATAGGTTGAACACAATCTTAGTGTATAAAACAAATAATGGGTTAGTAAATTAAGTAAACAAGTATTGAAACAATTCATTATGTGGTTATTTTTGTGTAACAGTACCTATTGCTGATTTGTGTCCCAAAATATTATATTTTTTTTCAGTGTGACACCATATTCAAACACTGATATATTGATGTTTGCGATTATTTTATCCAGAAAGCTGTTAACAATATTGGAGCTAGCTCTGCTTAAACTTATTCATTAGAATAAGTTTAATTAAGCTTAGTCTTATTTGAAAGATATCAGTGATATACTTAAAATGTTATTCTTTTATTCAGGTTCCAAGGGTGTTTTAAGAAACTGATAAATAAAAGATAAATTGCTTCCCTGAAGAACTTTCAATCTAAATGAAACAAAAGATGAGAGGATAGATATAATCAAAATGACTAAGGTCACTTTTTTATGTGGGGAGCCTGCTCTGATGCACTGGAAATCCAGCACATCGGAGCAGAGTCAATTAATTGAGTCTGCTGGAGCACACAACTTGATGTGCTCTGGAAGTCTCGTGCATCACATGCATCAGGGGCGCAGCATGCCTCTGTGCTGAGAGAATGGCGATAGTGCACTTTGAACTAAAACACGTTTGTGCTTTAGTTCAAAGCGCACTGCTGCCATTTTTATCAGCATGGCGGCGCGCTTCGCTGCTGATGCACATGACATGCAGATGCTTTTAATTAGCATGGCTCACTAATTTAGTGCCCAGCACCACATCAGGAGTACATACAAAAATGCCCTAGGTTAGTATGTCTTCTTCCATGTGTGGCTGTGTCTGTAGAGGATGCTAATTGTGTAAGAGAGTCTAATAATGAGGAAAGTACCATTTTACTTGGAGTATTCAAAAGCATTTCTAAGTCATAAAATGAAAACAGATGGACCTTTGGAATCTGGGGATATTTGTGGCAATAACAGAGTCTGATTTGAAGCCTTAAGTTGAAAGTTATATGGTACTTGATCCAAAGGGAGTTGTTGGTTGGACTCAATCCAGTGCAAAGGTGTTGGGAGGGGAAAATAAAGGTAGGCACAGAAAAATTAAGTGAAAGAAAATAAAATGAATAGACACAGGAAAATATAGCATATGTTGTGGGACAGTAGAACCTTAGTAGTTTAATACAGTTGCACAAGAGGATAGTAAATGGAGAGGTTAAGTGCATGAAATATAGGGATTAAAATACTAAGAGAAGCAACATGAGCTTTTAGGACTTAAGTGATATATTGGTGGTGAAATATCTGTTCAGAGTTGGAAGCAATTCTTTTAAAGTTGATGGAATTCCACTTAAATGCTTATATGCATTTCTGGCTTGGAGCAGAAATATTGTTTGCTGTTTTTAAATTAGAATGTTTGTGCATTCTAATAATTGGGAATTGCCTTATTAATAACGAGTTCTACCAATCATGAACCTACACGTACAAAAAGCAACTTTGTTCCAGATGCCTGTTCCTGTTGGCGCTAATGTTTACATGTAATAATGTGAAGATTATAATTCTCCAGATGAGGTGTTGAAAGCATTTCCTATTCCATTTTCACAGAAAGGAAGGAAGGACTAGTAAGAAACAAATACATTTCATCATGTTACTTATCAAGATGTGTACCCTTACGATAATGGGCCTGGATTTCTTGACACAAGTGAAAACCATTTGTTCAAGATGAAGGGCTCTCTTGGCAAAATCAGTATATTAAGGGAATTTTCACTCCTCGTAAACAATTTTTTTAAAAAAATTTATGTTTAAAATGTTAATCTCAAGCCATTTTACAGACTGTATTCCCAGTTGTTAAGAGCTGTCACAAATGAAAATTAAAACTAGGCCTTTAGCATACAGTGCAAAATAGAACCACCTTCAACAGAGAAGCTCCTCATATGCTACAGGGAAATCCAAGTGGTTTAAAGCGACCTTTGCTGGGAGGCCCTTCTGTATTTTTGCTAAGCACACTACAAGTGGTCCATTAAATCTGGGCACTTTTATACAGATAACTGATAAAATCCACATTGGGTAGAATACCTTCCTTTTATAATTGTGCCCATCAGCTTTATACAGCTGTATATTGCATTCTGATGTAAATGGTAAAGTGAGAAATGGAATTCAGGTAAACTTTCTTCTTGGATAAAACCGGCAAAGAATTAAGGCCCCCTGACCATGTCTGAAAGACATAACTGCTGTGTTTAAACTATGCTGTATTAAGTTGGATGGGAGCTAAGAAGTAGAGCGGTAACTGAATGGATCCTGTTAATTAACATTCCTGCTTTATAATTTTTTTCTGCATTTCCCAATTCTGTGCTAACTTACTGAAGTGCTCAACAAGTTGAGGTCCTTATCTATAGTCTCAATTTATATTTGGAGCAAGTAAAGTTCAAAAGAATTACACTAAAAATGCAAATCTAGCATTTCACTGTAGACAAAATGTTTTCTTTTTCTTTTAGCTATAATTTGGAAAGCAGCATATGGAATGTAGTACCAGTTTCAAAAGGACCTCTTCAGAGATATGGACATACTCTTGCTTTATATCAGGTTTGGATCCTTTTACTGTGCTAGTCCATTCACTATTTACTGTACAATGTTAATGAGCATCAATTATGGAAATGATAGCCTGAAAGTTACAGTGTAGTTATTCATCAGCTTAAAACCATGAGCATAACCTCATCTTTAGTTTCTATATACTCTTGTCCCATGGTTCTCCCTGGCTTAGAAAAATTATTGTACCCTTTCTGGGGATAGATGATGACTTATTTTGCAAGCTGACCTGGAGCTTTGAGAGCAGAGACTGAGAGTGAAACAGTATACAACAGGAGCTGGCAGGTTTCTTGTTTTTTGTATTATTATTTTTTAGGTAAGAAGTACCGTTGCAGAAAGCAGAAGGCAATCTAGTTAACAGATGATGCAGAGAAAGCTGAAAAGCCTTTCTACTTCAGCCTAATAAATAGGGACAGGGAAGGAGTCGGACAACTTTGAGTAATGGCAGAACAGGTTAGGGATTACTTAAAGAAGCTAGATGCTTTCAATTCGGCAGGGCCAAATCAGATATAGCTTAGAGTGCTGGAGGAATTCACTGAGGTAATTTTGGAGCCATTGGCTATCCTTTTTGAGAACTCATGGAGATTGTGAGGCCCCAGATGATTGGAAAAGGGCAAATATACTGTCCATCTGTAAGAAAGGGAAGGAGGATCCAGGGAATTAGACCTGTCAGCCTGACCTCAGTATCTGTAAAGACCATGGAGCTGGTCCTTATGGAATCAAGTGTGAAGCACCTAGAGGAGAACAAGGTGATCAGGAACAGCCAGCATGGATTCCCCAAGAGCAAGTCATTTCTGAACAAAATGATTTCCTTCTGTGATAAGGTGACAGGCTGTGTGCATGGGGGAGGAGGGAGAGCAATGGATGTGTTATATTTTGGCTTTAGCAAGGCTTTTGATATTGTCTCCCACAACATCCTCATTAGCAAGCTAAAGAAATACAGACTAGATGAAAATACTGTAAGGTTGATACGTAACTGGCTGTTTTGGGCTCATGAGTAATCATCAATAGCTCAGTGTCTAGTTGAGTGGAGATATCAAGTGGGGCTCCCCAGGGGTCTGTCCTGGGTCAGGTACTGTTCAACACTTTTTTTATTAATGATTTGCATTATGGGGTTGCATGTTTTCTTAGCAAATGTGTAGATGACCCCAAGTTGAGTAGAGCTACAGACCCTCTGGTGGACAGGGCTAGGATTCAAAATGATCTGCATAGACTGGAAAAATGGCCCACAATCAATCATAGAAGTAGGGTTGGAAGGGACCTTGTAGATCTTCAAATCTGACCCCCTGCCTGGGCAGGACAAAAACTGGGCTCAAATGACTCCAGCCAGGTAGGCATCAAGCCTCTTCTTAAAGACCCCCAGGGTAGGAGCCAGCACCACTTCCCTTGGAAGTTGGTTCCAGCTCCTAGCCGCCCTAACTGTGAAGTAGTTCTTGCGGATGTCTAATCTAAACCTACTCCCTAATAATTTGTGTCCATTGTTCCTTTTCATGCCAGGGGGTGCTAGGGGAAACAGTGTCTCCCCTAAACCCTTGTGGTCCCCCCTAGTGAGTTTATAGATGGTCACCAGGTCCCCCCTCAGCCTTCTCTTGTGAAGGCTGAACAGGTTCAGGTCCCGCAGTCTCTCATTGTAGGGTCTGCCCTGTTGTCCCTGGATCATGCGGGTGGCCCTCCTCTGGACCCTCTCCATGTTGTCTGCATCTCTCCTGAAGTGGGGTGCACAGAACTGGACGCGCTACTCCAGCTGTGGCCTGACCAATGTCGCGGAGGGGGAGGATCACCTCCTTGGCTCTACTCGAGATGTACTTGTGGATGCACGACAAGGTCCGGTTAGCCCTGCCAACCATGACCTCGCATTGTCGGCCCA